CTTTCATCATCTTAAATACATGTTACCTCATTTTTTTTTTCTACTACACTTCTGCTCTCTCCAATTTGGTCATAAGGCTATGTTAGTGCTTTCTGCCTGTATAGACAGTAAGCCTTCATGGCAGTCAGTAGGAGCTAGTGATGTGTAGGTCTTGCCTTCCACAAGAAGAGTCTGAGGTGATCTTCCCCTGGTTTGATTTGTGCTGCTATGGACAGATTTCATCCCCTGATAACAGCAAGGTTGATTCCAGATTGAGGTGTGCCAGAACTCATTTCCAGGTATATTTGTCATAAAACATTGGTTGACAGAAAAGCTTCTAGGTATTCAGTAGTATGCTTTGTGTGTGATAGGAAGATGAGTGCAGAGGCTATGAAGATATTTCTAAATTACAATATGTTTGCTGGAGAAGACACCCAAGTGAAAATATGTGGGGCTTATGTGGTAGAATGAAGCCTCCTGGGAATAAGTGGAGGTGATTGGTAAGGTGAACTTGAGTTGGACCCTTCCTTTTAGTAACCTTACCAAGAGAAGGGCAGTGAGGGAAACCTTTCTGGAAAAAAGTGGCATGGTGTGTAAAAAGACAGAAGTGCTGGTTCTTACGCTGTAAGGAAGATGTGAGATTTCTGGGATATTTTCTCTCCCTCCCTTTAACTAATTCTCCATTGTCATTTTAACATGCTCTATTAGGTAAACAGGGGTTAGATGTTTATCAAAGTGTGAGAGCACAAGAAATAGTGCATCCTAGTACATGCTGTGGCAGTTGACTCTGGAGACCAGGATGGTGACAGAGCATTCTCAGCTCCTTTCTTTCAAGGAAGGGAGCTCCACTTTTCCAGCCCAGGTTCTTAAGATGTTGGAGAGCACCAGAGAGTCCTCTCTTTACCCCCACCAACAGGGAGGTGGGAAGTTGATCAATGTTCTTTTATAATACTTGTTAATTGACAAATATGGTTTGGCACAGTAAATGAATTAAAGACATTTGCTAAAGTTTTGTCCTTGGTTCTCTATTTGTATACTAGAGGCCCGGTACACGAAAATTGGTGCACTGGGGGGGAAGGAGGGCCCAGCCAGGCCTGCCCCCTTTCACAGTCCAGGAGCCCTCAGGGGATGTTCTACTAATGGCCTCCCTCTGCTGGAAGCTACCAGGCCAATGAGGGGAAGGTGCTGCCCCCATCACCCCGCTGCTGCTACCACTGCCAGCCACCAGGGCTGCCTGTCCTAGGCCCTCTGTCACAGCTCTGTTTGGAAGACATCCTGGTCTCGCCAGTATAATTGGCATATTACCCTTTTATTAGTATAGATATGTTTAGAGGGTAGGAGTGGGGAGTTGGATAATAGGCTTAAGCCCCCACTGGAGCCTCGGGTAAGTTTCATACACAAGCAAGCCTCTCTACTGATTACAGTACAGGGGGAGAAAATGGGAGAAAACCCTGTCTTAGTTTATTTCTTAAAGGAAGCCTTTGGAAGAAAACTCATCCTAGCAAGTTAATGTTAATTTTATAAATACTTTGTGATTATCTGAAAGGAGTTATGACTCTCAGTGATGCAAAATATTTGGCTTTGTCCAGTCTCAATTGACTCATATCCCACTTGTAAAAGGAAGAAGAAGCGGGCTATAAGTAATAACTGAAAAAGCTGTTTCGCTAAAATGTTTTCTAAGACTATCTTGTTGCCCATGTTAAAGAAATGTAAAATTAAAAGAAATGGAGGTAGGGGTGGTGACTAGAGAAGCACACAAGAGGGGGAGCTTGTGTATATTAGTTACATTCATGTGTTCAGTTTGTAAAAAGTAATCAGGTTATGTACTTAAAGACAGATACACCTTTCTAGCCCTAACAGGTTTGGCTCAATGGATAGAGTGTCAGCCTACGGATTGAAAGGTCCCATGTTCAATTCCAGTAAAGGGCATGTACCTTGGTTGCAGGCACATCCCCAGTAGGAGGTGTGCAGGAAGCAGCTGATTGACATTTCTCTCTCATCAATGTCTCTCTCTATCCTTCTCTCTTTCTCTCTGTAAAAAAAAATAAATAAAATATATATTTTTTAAAAGATAGATACACTTTTCTATATGATTATTATACTTCAATAAAAACTTATAAAGCAAAAAAGAAAACATTAGAGAACTAACAGGATTTTTTTTTTTTTTACCAATATGGATATATGAATTTATCAAAATTCATTGGGTGGTACATTTAAGACTTGGGGGATAGCAGCCGGCGTGACTCAGTGGTTGAGTGTCAACCTATGAACCAGGAGATCACAGTTTGATTCCCAGTCAGGGCATATACCCAGATTGCAGTCTCAATCCTCAGTCGGGGGTGTGCAGGAGGCAGTCAATCCATGATTCACTTCCATCATTGATGTTTCTATTTCCCTCTCCCTTTCTCTCTGAAATCAATAAAAATATATCTTTTTAAAAGACACGTGGCAATATCTCATTATGGTTTTGATTTTCATTTCCCACAATGAGATATAACTTGCACCTGTCAGACTGGCTATTATCAATAAACCTAAAAAACAACAGTGTTGGCAATAATGTGGAGAAAAGAGAACCCTCATGCATTGTTGGTGGGGTTGTATATATTGGTGCAGCCACTATGGAAAACAGTGTGGGGGTTCCTCAAAAAATAGAACATATGACCCAGATATTCTACTTCTGGATATATGTCTGAAGAAATCCAAAACCCTAATTCAAAAAAAAAAAAAAAAAAAACACATATGCATCCCTATATTCATTGCAGCATTATTTACAATAGCCAAAATATGCAAGTAACCTAAGTGCCCATCAATAGACGAATAGATAAAGAAGATGTGGTACATATGTGCAATGGAATATTACCCATTTGTAACAAAAAGTGAAATCTTGACATTTGCAACAACATGGATGGACCTAGAGGACATTATGCAAAGTGAAATAAGTCATACAAAGAAAGGTAAATACTACATTATTTCACTTACAGGTAGAATTTTTAAAACAAAACAAACAAACTCATAGCTACAGAAAACAAATTGATGGTCTCCAGATGAGGTTGTGAGTTGAGGGGATGTATGATAAAGGGGAAGGGATTAATAAGCACAAATTAGCAGTTACAAAATAGTCACACGGATGTAAAATACAGCTTAGGGAATATAGTCAATAACAGTATAATAATTATATATGGTGCTGGGTGGGTACTAGACTTTTAGAGAGGATCACTTTGTACATCATATAAATGTTGAGTCACTATGTTGTACACCTAAAAGTAGTATAATTCTATATAATAAAAGGCTAATATGCAAATAGATTTTTTGGTAAAATGACAGGTCGCTATGATGTGCACTGACCACCAGGGGGCAAAATGCTTAATGCAGGAGCTGTCCCTGGTGGTCAGTGCACTCCCATGGAGGGAGTGCCACTCAGCCAGAAGCCAGGCTCATGGCTAGCAAGTGCAGTGGCACTGGCAGGAGCCTCTCCCACCTTTGAAACAGCGCTAAGGATGTTCGACTAACAGCTTAGGCCCACTCCCTGTGGAGAGTCAGACATTCTCTGAGGGCTCCCAGACTGCAAGAGAGTGCAGGCCAGGCTTAGGAACATCACCTCCCTCCCCGAGTGCATGAATTTTGTGCACCAGGCCTCTAGTATTGCATATAAACTGTAACTGAAAATTTAAAAAAAATAAAATAAAATGTGTGCACTTTGTTGAATGTAATTTTTACTCAACAAAGAAGAAAAGGGGAAGGAAGAAATGTTAGGAAGAGAGGAAGGAAGGAAGGAAGGAAGGAAGGAAGGAAGGAAGGAAGGAAGGAAAGAAGGAAGGAAGGAAGGAAGGAAGGAAGGAAGGAAGGAAGGAAGGAAGGAAGGAAACTACAAACAAACATTGATATTTAGTTAATGATCAGCATATAGAAGTCTTTTGCTGTGAAGTAAAGAAATGTCTACAACTTACTTTGAAATGCATCCAAAACATGAAATGGATTAATAAATAAATAGAAAATACTAATTATAAAATATGAGTAGTAACTATATGGGTGTTCACTGTATTATTCTTTCAACTTTTCTGTATATTTGAAAATATTATACTAAAATGTTGGGAAGGAGAATCTAAAGAAGGGAGGAAGAGTTCTCATTTCTTTATGGATATAAATGTTGGCTTCAGCCCATTGAGGACCCAAATGCATTAGCAGTAATTAGCAAGAGACAGGTATCCAGCAAAAATAGCATAATTCCTGGAAGAGGAGTCCTAGAAAATAGCAATGCCCAGTGGAACTGGTGGTGCCTAGGTGGAAATGGCTTGATGTGAACCTGAAGAGATTCCATGAGGAAGATGAGGTGGCAGAGACACCGGACTGTAGCCAGAGCAAAAGAAGAAGATGGTGGGTGCTATGGAGTAGATGCCAAGACTCATTTACACACACATGTGAGACATATCCTGGGGTTTGTACCATCATATACAACCAGTCAGTCTTCCTCTTTGGTATTTCTGTCATAAATGTTGAAAGTAAACATCATTAGAATCTAAAGCAATCTTCTGTGTTTGGCATGTTAAGCTGAAGAAAATATTTTATTCCTCTAGTTGGGGTCAAACTTTTTCAATATTGTCCAGTTACATGAAGCATTGTATGTACTCAATGAAGAAACCCTAATTATACAGGTAAATGAAATAAATCAAAACATTTTCTTGAAGTTGGCACATATGTTTGTCCTTGGCACAGCTACACTAAATAAACACAGTCACTAAAATGGAAGAATGTTTATTTTCTCCAGAATACTTGTAGTTTCAGAGACATAGTACCTTAAGAATTAGTCCATATCCAGGTTTTTCTATTTTTTGTTTGTCATTGTTGTTTTCATTGAGATATAATTGGCATATAACATTGTGCCCAGGGATTTCTTCATTGTTCTATTAAAGAATGATCCTAGAGAGGAATTTTCATTTCCCCCTTTGCATTCTAATCAATAGACTCTATACATAAAACTCATGACATCCTACAATCATGATTCTTTTTCTATCTCTTTTTAGGGTTTTACTGATATTTTGCTAGAAAGAGTCATGCATGGGGGAGCTAATATTACAGGATTCCAGATTGTCAACAATGAAAACCCTATGGTTCAGCAGTTCATACAGCGCTGGGTGAGACTGGATGAAAGGGAATTCCCTGAAGCCAAGAATGCACCACTAAAGGTAATGTTCCATAGAATTTAGACACCATAGGCCAGCTTTTCAAAGCATCTCAATATGGTCTTTATACATTTACAGCCATCCTGTGATCGAGCGGTCTTCCCTCAAAAGTGTTTTAAGGACGGTAAAACACAATCACAGATCATGCTGCTGCATTTGAAAAACAAACTCCCAAATAAAAATACAATAAAAAAGGAGGTCTTTTTAAAACCCAGTGTTGCGGATTGTTAATTTTGTAATGAATTTCATTTATAATATGCTCATAACGATTTAAAATATAACAATAACCAGAGTCAGACAAAAGTTTGGAGCAGTGGGAATAGCTAAGGGAGACTGATAATCTGAAACAGAAAATTAGATTTTACATTATTTATGTGATTGTTCTGTGTTAATAAGTTTCATGAATTTCAGCACACCCAAGTGAATTAGCCTCTAATACAGAGTATGTGTTGTCTATACTATACATATATTGAACGGAAATGTTTTCCTGCCTGCAAGAAAAGTATCTTTAAAAATAATTAGATTACCTAAGTTGCTCATTTTTATGAAATCAAGAATATTGAAAGTAGAAAGCTATGCTTACAGTGTACATTTTTCATATGTGTTCCTTTAGGCTAGAAATTATATTATTTAAAAATGGGGAATTAAAACAGATAAATTAGAGGAAAGTTATTCATGTTACACAAAGTATCCTTCAAATGTATTTTTTTATTTTTTAACTTGTTTTTTTAAGTAACCATTCCCTCTGTGCATTGATTCAAATATGAAACTAACTTTAAATTCTTCCTTTCTGATACAGTGAAAGTATATATGTACTATGGCTATGGGATTTCTGTGATCAAGCAAGGGGTCAAAGTATAGTGAAGACCCTTCTCTAAACAAGGAAAAGATGGGGGAAGGGAATATTTCCTTTCTCATGGTTTCAAAATACCCGTCCTCAAATCCTCCCTGGCAAAAACAGAATGAGGGAGAATATAATGAGGATACAGACCAGGAAATACATTCTGAATCACATAGGCAATGGGTCACATCAGAACGTAATACAAGTAGGACCTTACTTTATGTAATTGGTATGTTCTAGAAAAGTTAGAGTTAAACATAATTTTTATTCATTTAATCTACTCACTAATTAAGTAGTAGTCTGTGCTGTAGAAATTATAGTATACATGCCATGTTTTTCTAGGAAAGTCCCATTTTAAAACAATCTGTCCCATGGTCAAATCAGATTTCCTTATATGTCTCAGTCAATATGGTCACAATCCCTATGATGAATCCTTTGTATTCAATTTTTAAAAAGATGATTATTTTATATTTTTAGTTGAGACATAATTGAATATAACATATTAGTTTTAGGTATGCAATGTAGTTATTTTATATATGTGTATATTATTAAATGATTACCAACCACCTTAAAATTAGTTAACATCCATCACCACCATAGTTAGAATTCTTTTCTTATAATATGAACTTTTGAGATTTACTCCCTTATCAACTTTCAAAAATACAATACAGTACAGTCACCATGCCATGCATTACATCCCCAGGACTTATTTATCTAATAATTAGAAGTTTGTACCCTTTGACCACTTCCACCAAATTCCCTCATCCACCTCCACTCCCACCTCTGGCAACCATCAACCTGTTCTCTATTTTTATGAATTCAGGTTTTTTTAGATTCCACATATTGTAAGATCACACAATATTTGTCATTGTCTGACTTATTTCACTTAGCATATATCCTCAAGTGCACCTATGTTGTTGTGAATAGCAGGATTTCCTTCTTTTATATGGCTCAATAATATTTCATCATATATATATATATTACATATTCTTTACCTGTTCATCCACTAATAAACACTTAGATTGTTTCCATGTCTTGGCTATTGTAAATATTTCTGCAATTAATATGGGAATGCAGATGTCTTTCCAAGATACTGATTTCATTTCCTTCAGATAAATACCCAGAAATGGAATTGCTGGTTCATATGGTAGTTCTATTTTTAATTTCCTGAAGAAACTCCATACTATTTTCCAAAATGGCTGTAACAGTTTACATTCGCACCAACAGTGCACAAGGGTTACCTTTTCTCCACATCCTTGCCAACACATGTTATTTTTGTCTTTTCTATAATACCATTCTAACAGGTATGAAGTTATATCTCATTATGGTTTTAATTTGCATTTCCCTGATCATTCAAATATTTTCTATGTACTAAATCCATCCACTACATTCAGGTGAGCTTATACAAATTCAGGTTTTCATAAAACTACCTATACACTGCTTTGCCATCTTTATATTTAGCAGATAATAGAGAAGAAATTTTTATTTATTTAAGGGGGTATCTAAAATGCATCAGGCACACACACAAAAGTGGACAGGATAAAAGTATGAAAAGCCTACTACAGAGTAGATTATGCCTCTTCAGAAGTTCTTGAGGTTGTACAAAAGAGAAGGAAAACAATCTCGGCTCTGGATTATTTATTGATAGCTCTTGATATGTATAATGTAAAGTTCTTCAAACTTGCTGAAAAGAATCGTTAAGGCTTATATGTAAAACTCCAAATAACTTAAGAAAATGGAATATTTAAATAGATGGTTATAACTTTAAGATTACTTTTGCTTAGTACTAATCATTATGAAATATTTCTATATATCAATCAGACAAAAACCCACTTTTAAAAATAATGTACAGCTAGGCCGGCATGGCTTGACTTACGAACCAGGAGGTTTGATTCCTGGTCAGGGCATAGGCCCGGGTTGTGGGCTTAATCCCCATTGTGGGGCATGCGGGAGACAACCAATCAATGTCTCTCACATCACTGATGTTTCTATCTCTCTCCCCCTCTTCCTTCCTCTCTGAAATCAATATATAATAATGTGTAATTTTTTTTTACTAGGAAATACAATTATCTAGAGATTAAAACCCTGATGCCTAATTTAGTCTATATGTTATGAATGTTTCTTCTGGGGACTTTTTTTTTTTTTACATGCTCACACATGGGTAAGTAGAAGCTGAAACAGTAGAATATTAAATAGCTCTTCTGACATGGCTTGGAAAGGCAGCTGGGGTAAAACCACCACCATATTCACTTTATGTAGTGCTAGGATGGGCAGACATAAAGAAAAGAACATATGCCCCCTATTATAATCAAACTTGATGTTTTGCTCCTGAAAGAACAGTGACATGAAGAAGTCAGAAAAGTAAATTGATAGTTGTAAAGATGACAATAAATTCACTCCCAATTGTATTTGGATGTATTATATATAATACAACTTCCCCTAGAATATTTTGATTCATTTTTTTTAAAAGCAACAGAATTCTATATTCTACCAGTATTTGTCACCATCTACAAAACAGGGACCATCTTATTTTAATTGAATGTTGGTTTGTTTATCCGCCATGTCAAATTGCAGATAATCCAATTCCTTGTTTTAAGTAACTGGCCTCAATTCCAATAGATGCCTACCAATGTATCCAAGGAATAGAAAGTAAGTGTTCTTGCCTGAAAAAGGCAGCATCATGCATTACTGCCTGCGAATTATTAGTGTTATCAGATTTAAAATTCAGTAACAATTATAATTTTCTACAATAAAAAAACAGCTTTAGTTTTTGCTTCCCCCAGGAAACAAAAACTGATTTATTGCTGGCCAGGGGTCCTAGTTCACCAGAAATGTGGTCCAGACAGAAATGATTAATGTTTCCCTCCAAATTAATTTCAAGCTGTCTAATTTAGCTATTTTCATTTTCCCCTAAGTAAACACCAGATCTGAATTTTCTATTAGAAACCGCAATAACCCAGTCTTGCTTTAGGATATGCTGTTTCCTCTCCATTCTACATATACTATCCTTTAATTTAACATGTTTTTCCACTCAATATGAAACACTGTGTTGAGAACAAGAGAAAGATTCCCTTGAGCCATATGATCTTAGTAATTTAACATGTGCACAAGTGAGGTAGGAAGCATTACTCTAGAATGAATCAAAGTCTGCCTTCTCCAGAGAGATCTCTTGATTTAAATAATTAAGAGGATGACTTTGTAAAGCAAGAGGTATTGATGAATGAAAATGATAAGAAAAAAGTCAAGTTTCAAGGGCTTCATTTGTCATGGTATCTTGTTTTCTATGCATCCATTTCAGTATACATCTGCGTTGACACACGATGCAATATTGGTCATAGCAGAAGCTTTCCGCTATCTGAGGAGGCAGCGAGTGGATGTGTCCCGGAGAGGCAGTGCTGGAGACTGCTTAGCAAATCCTGCTGTGCCCTGGAGTCAAGGAATTGATATCGAGAGAGCTCTGAAAATGGTAATGATCACAATAGATTATTGGGGTGGGGAAACTTATAAAGATTAGATCTCAATCTTGAGAAAATACATACTTACAGGAATAGGATCAGAGTCTATAGAATGCCATAGTGTGCATAAAGATAAACATGGATATTTATTCATCAAAATCTAGAAATCTAAAACTAACAATTTCTCCCTTAAAGCTTGAAAAATGGCAAATTTGGGACAAATGAATATTTAGTTCTGTGCCACACCATAGGTATTAAATCAAACTCAGTACCATCAAAAGTTGTGGGCTGGAATTGTAAATGACTTCAAAATATTCAGACTTTCCCAGAATTATGTTACTGAGGGGAACTGAGATATTTTATATGAAGCTCCTACCTTCAAGATACACCATTACAAAGGACAACAACATCCTATGTCTCATCAGACAAATGTTTAGCCTGGATGGATTTTAGATTACAACAATGTGATAGTATTTCTCTTGCCAAAAGAACCTTTATACTATTCTACATGGTGAAACACAGGAATATGATCCATTTTCAAGATTACTTAAGAGGCTTTCCCCAATGTCCCACCCTAAAGCCTAAATAAAAGTATTTTAAAAATCAATGGATAGATATTCAAATAGGTCACTTGTTTTTGGTATATACAGAGTAAGAGGCCATTTAAGGCTTCAAGCAGTGTCCTTTGAACATATTCCATTATTTACACTAGGATCAGTATCACCCATTCATTGCAGTTTTCCAAGCAAGAGCTCTTTTCTGAATATTTTGATTTATGCTACATGTGCCTACATGCATTACAATGAACCTTTGAGAGTACAAGACATTCTTATTTCTACTTACTTAATTGTCTTGATGTTTGGGACATCCAAATAAACAAAGAGATAAGCAATGGTTGGATAATTCTGTGCAAAACCCAGCAACAAAGATTTTATAATAGCTTCATAACACATAATTTTGTGTAGTTGGCTCTCTTACTGCTGCCTTAAGTTTGCCAAGTTGGAAGCATTCAATCAAAAGGGGTTAGTAGCCCCTGTGTCTTTCTCCAAGAAAGAGATATGACTCATTCTTTCATCATGCAGATTTTTATGTCATTATGTCAGTTCCCTAACAAATGCCCTAACTGTCATTTTATGGAGGTAGCATGGCACAATTTTGAAGAGCAGTTAATTAAATTCAACCTTCATAGCAGTTACAAGATTTGTATTGTCAGGTGAAACATAATGATGAGTGAAATGTAAAAATCACTCAGAGTGAATCAAAAGGAGTTTTTAGCAACGAAAACTCAAGGGGCAAGTTCCAGCATCTCCAATTGATTCCCCACTCATGACACAAACAACTATATTCCCCAAACTAGATGCCAGGTTCATGAAATTCGTGCATTAGGGGGGTCCCCTCAGCCCAGCCTGCACCCCCTCCAATTTGGGACCCCTTGAGGGTTGTCCGACTCAGGTGGGCAGTCAGACATCCCTCTCACAATCCAAAACTGCTGGCTGCCAACCACTCGCCTGCCTGCCTGCCTGATCACCCCCTAGCCACTTCTGCCTGACAGCCTGATTGACACTTAACTGCTCCCTTCCCCACCTGATTGCCTCTAACTGCTCTCCCCTGCTAGCCTGGTTGCCACTAACTGTCCTCCCCTGCAGGCCTGGTCAGCCCTAACTTCCCACCCCAGCCAGCCCGGTTGGCCCTAATTGTCCTCCTCTGCAAGCCTGGTCACCTCCAACTGCCCTCCCCTGATGGCCTGATTGCCCCCAATTGCCCTGACTTGCAGGCCTGGTCCCTCCAAACTGCCCTCCCCTGCTGGCCATCTTGTGGTGGCCATCTTGTGTCCACATGAGGTGGCCATCTTTGACCACATAGGGGAAGTGTGTTGGAGTGACAGTCAATTTGCATATTACCTCTTTATTATATAGGAGGATAGAAATCAAGCTACCAAAATGAAGAATAAGCAATTAATTTTATTAGTAAAAAAGATTAATTATACTATTGCACAAATAATTCCTACATGTCTAACTCACTGATAAAGTTCAAGCTATAAGCCAAGTAAATAACCTTTCTCCCCAGCCCCTAATGATCAAACAATCAAAAGAATCTGTGTAGCTGGCTCTCTTTGATTATCTCTTTCTACAGGCCAGTCTCTTCCTATTACTCCGGAGGCTGGAAAGTATCAATCTTTTTCAATTGTGGATGATCCCTCGTGATAAATGCTCAGTAAAACATCATTCAGAGGGACTTCAAAGGAGAATTATCTGAAATACTTAAAGTTTTTATTGTATTAAAGAAATCTCATTTTATTTGAGTTAATTATAAATAAGAATGTGTGATGTAAAAGCATCCCTTATTGTGACTAGTGCATAGTTGTTGCTCAATAAATCAGTAGCTTCCTTTACAGAAATCTGGTAAAAGCATTGCCTGATAGAGGTTCCTCTGGGGCCTGTTTAGTGAATAAATAAGCACATTATTCATTCAGTAAACATTTATTGAGCACTAACAACCATGTATCAGGCTCCAAGTTAGTATGCAAATATGAAATAAGATGAGGGGAGCTCACATATAAATAGTTAATGTGTAAACAAATGCTTTTAAAGAACTTAAAGCCACTTGCAAATTGGGTAATCGTTCTCCTCACAATTGACATAGTAAAAAGATCTGCCTCAGCCCAATCTACTGAAATATGTCACAATGTTAAGTCATTGAGATTTGTCTACTTGTTCAGTAAACATTTACTGAGCACCTGCTCTATCCCATTTAAGCTGAGAACACAGAAAAAAGAATGTCTCATCTTGAGATGCTCCCAACATAGTAGGGGAGATGGAAATACATAGATTATTAAGATGCTAGTTTAAGTTCTACAGAGGTTGCAGTGGGAACCCCGAAGAGAAATACCTAATATAGACTAAGATGGGAGTGGGTAGAATTAAAGAAAAGACCCCAGATAAAATTATGGGAAACTCACTTACATTCACATCTTTAAAAATAGACTTCTCTCTGAGTGGGAATCCATTTCTACTTCTGCTCACCAAAATTTCTAAACATGGGGTATGAAATATATTGGACATATCTAGACTGTTGTCCAATTTATATATCATGTTTAAATAGGCTGGGACTTTAGAAATATATAATTTTCAATGAGACTTGAAAAGTTTGCTATTTTCAGTAATGAAGAATTTTCTTAATAAGTTCCTATGCCAGTGTCTCTGTCCTGCCTATATCCTCTCCTGGAATTCAAAGTTCAAAATAGACTGTAAAGAATAGACCATTCATGTATCACAGAATGTACCAGATTCATTCTACTACATAAGCAATTTCTATCTCAACAAAGGCCCTTTTCTTTAACTTGAAGTGTGACATCACCCTCTCTGCAAGCCTAAGCTAACAATAGTGCTTAGATTTGTTGGGTCAGTAGGGCAATCATCATGTCTTCAGGAAATCACTTTGGAGCATTTCTCTTTCAATAGGAATTCCCGTTTCCTAGTGGTGATGAACAAGTCCCCTTCACTTTAAAACTATGCTCCCTAATATTCGCCATCAATTTTCCCATCTGCAGCGCAAGCCCATTACTTCTGACTTGCTTAATAGCATGTCACTTAAGACAAATAAGTGATGAAAAAGTATTTCAGTCCTGGTTCCTGTGGCTCAGTGGTAGAGCATCAACACAAGCATTGAAGAGTTTCTGGGTTCGATTCCCAGTCAAGGGCTTGTAACTGGGTTGCATGTTCATTCCCCGCCCCAGTCAAGGTGCATGCAGGAAGCAACCAATCGATTGTCCCTTTCACATCTCTCTCTTTCTCTCTCTCTCTCCCTCTCTCTCTCTCTCTCTCTCTCTCTCTCTCTCTCTCTCTCTCTCTCTCTCTCTCTCTCTCTCCTTACCTCCCTCTCCCCCTTTCTCTCTCCCCCGTTCCACTTTCTCTAAAAATCAACAGAAAAATATCCTCAGGTGAGAATTAACAAAAAATAAAGAATTAGTATTCCATTGTTTCTTCCTAGGAAAATGAGACATATCCTTTTTCCTTAAAGCAAATTCCTCAGTCCTTACTCACCAAATGAGCTATTCAAGGGTATAACAATATTAACTTATATCTATAGAGGGTCTTCATATAGTGTTGCTAAACTGTAAAATAAGGAAATCTCTCCACCCAGCAGAGATGGCCTCTTATTAGTTAGTGCATTATACTGGGCCCAGATCCAGGAAAAATTGTGGCACAGGTGAATCTGCATTTGGCATCCCAAATAGGTCTCCAGACTGTACCAGTATCTCTAGCTTTCTTATCTAGTATTCCACAGTCCTGATTCCTTAGACTTAACCAATCTCATCAGTGTAAAGATTATCCTTCTATGGCCTAGCTCTATCCTACCTATCTATAGCTGGGCATAAATTAAATAAGAGGAAAAACTCACCCTGTTACCATGGCAGCTGGTAAATATGTAATCCTCTCAAGAAATGGAGCTAAGTTCACTTTGATTAATAATAATTATCAATATACCTAGCATGTATTGTAATGCTTACTATATGTCAGCCACTGTTTTAAACATTACATATGTATAACTAATTTAATCCTCCTCAACTCAAAAATATAGGTACTTCTAGGATTTTACAGACTAGGGTGTTGAAATAAATATGTATTAAGAAATATACCCAAGGTCATACAGTTAGTAAGTGATGAAGCTAGGATATGAATACAGGAGCTCCAGAGCTCCTGAAGCCATTTATGTTCAGATATTGGGAATACTAAGATAAGCCATAGCCCCAAAGGAACTTACAGTTTAGAAAAATGCATTACCCTTATTAGGATTACTCTTCAGGCTAATCCTTTAAGAAGAGACAAATGGAAATTTCAGCCCCCTGAAAAAGTAGTGGTAGGGCCCTCACTATATCATCTAGGTAACTGCCTATCACACCTACTCAAAGCTCCATAATTACAAGGTATACCTAGCAAATACTGGGGAGAAAATGAAGATCTGTCTAGACATGATCTGGTGGATAAATAGCTCAATGATTCAATATAAAAGTTCTCCAAGACTCCAAGATCTATCAGCAGACCTCATCCCAGGGACCTAGAAGGCAATAATGTGGTGCTCTTTTAAAGTTTTATATTTTTTTTCTACCAGGTGCAAGTACAGGGAATGACTGGAAACATCCAATTTGACACTTATGGACGTAGAACAAATTATACTATTGATGTGTATGAAATGAAAGTCACTGGCTCTCGAAAAGTAAGTAACCAAAACCCATATGCAAAGAAAAAGTCTTTTTGAAAAGTGACAGTACCCAGATGCAAGAAAACAGGTCTTAGAAAACATACAAAGAGCAAATTCCCACATATCATTTCTGCCTTTCTATTCAGGGAAGAGTGTAGATATGATAGAGTTGTCTTGTAAACAGTGTTCCAACTACACAGTTTAAAAAGAGTATTTCCTTCCGAGTCTGGTTCTGTTAGACTCAAGTGTTATTAACAGCTTTCTACAATAAAGGAAAGGAGTCACATATTTTACAGAATGTTTTTAGTTGAACAGAGGCTGCCAACGTACATAGTTTTAGCAAAAGAACTGGAAAGTAGTTATCACTTTGCTTTGTCAACTTACCCGCAAAAGGACTTGAACAAAGAACCTTTCTCTAGAGCTAAATATTATAATGACAACTTTGCTTCTATCACACTAATAGTTGAGTTGGGTATTAAGTAGAGATTTAGTAACCATCTGATAAAACCTCATAACATAAAATATCTGTGTCATTTCTACAGTATACTCACTGGTTTCCTGCCCCCATATCCCAGGTTTCCTACAGCTCAAAGCAAAGTATTTTTCTGCTATATGAGTTTAAAGAAGAAAAAGCTTATCATCCTACATGGGATAAATTATTTTACAAAATGCCAGTAATGGTGATGTGGGCACAGGAACCCCCAGGATGAAGGAACAGCACTGTGTGTGTGTGTGTGTGTGTGTGTGTGTGTGTGTGTGTGTGTTGGGGTTGGGGTTCTGGTGAGTGTGAAAGACAGGACAACATCTGTTACCAGTGGGAACGTTCTTTGTCCCCACCAGTTGCTTGTGGGGGTGGATTTTTTTCCCATATCCTGAGAAAAATAATTTTCTGAGACTCACATGGGAGGAAGTGGTATTATAGAAAACTTTATTTCTATGGAATTAAACCCTTGAGTTTCAAATACCCCATTTCCCATTGTCACACCAAGGAAGAAGTGTAGCTGGGGCTTTAGCAGAGTTAGAATCTGAGCCAGTGTCCAAAGCTTTCTTTCCATATTGGAGCAGTGTCCAGTCCAGTATCAGGCTAACTTAGCTTGTATTTCTCACAGCAGTTCATTAGTCCACTGTGTGTGGGGTCCACATGGCCCTGGGTCATACCAGCAAGTGCAAGAGAGTCAATTGTTTAGGGGATAATGTATCCCCATATTTTCATGGGCTTGAAGTGCCCTGCCTATTCTGGTTAATGATTTCTGTCTCCAATGGTATCTTTTTATGGCACCTCAACTTCACTGTGCATGTGCCCGTCTTTCCCTTTGTCCAGTCCTTTCTCCCAGTAAGCCTCAAGGAATGGGTTGGTGGTTCCCAGGGGAGTGTGGAATTGCAGTTTCCTGGTGAAGCTGCCCACATGTCCCTTTTGCTCCTTTCCTATCTTATCTAATAAAGAATGCGCAAATTGACTATCATGCCATCACAAAGATGGTAGTTCCCATAGCCACAAGATGGCAGCGCCCAGTCCCCTCAGCCCCACAAGAGTTCTCCAGTACTTTCAGCCCAGCCGGGGGAGGGGGGGGGGGCACATGATGCAGCCGAACCAATCCTCAGTTCCCCAGCCACCCAGGGCTGGCCCAAGGTGCAGGCAAGCCTCTTATGTCGGCTGCCCAGCTGCCTAGGGCCAGCCCAAGGCACAGGCAAGCCTCAGATATCAGCTGCCCAGCTGCCCAGGGCCGCCTGAGGCTCAGGTAACCTAGGCTTGTGCTGCCAGTAGTGGCAGCAACAGAGGTGTGATGGGGGCATCACCTTCCCCTGATCACCAGATTGCCTCCCACTCCGGAGGGCTCCCGGACTGTGATAGGGGGCAGACAGGCTGAGGGACCCCCTTTCCAGTGCATAAATTTTCATGCACCAGGCTTCTAGTTATTAATAACTAGCTAATCACAATGGTATCAAAGCAACTAAATTTTTTTTCACTCCACAATAGCACTTCAATTTCACGTGCTTTTTGAGTGAAAAGTGGGCAACCAGGTCAAATGTCTGTTCTCTCTAGGCTGGCTACTGGAATGAGTATGAAAGATTTGTGCCTTTCTCAGATCAGCAAATCAGTAATGACAGTGCATCCTCAGAGAACCGGACCATAGTGGTGACTACCATTCTGGTAAGTATGGACAGATAGTAGGTGAACTTTCTATACATCAAGACTTCTAAGCAGCGAACAGACTGTCAAACCTCAGAGGGATGGTAGGGGAGGGTGGGGGCAAAGGGGAGAGATCAACCAAATGATTTGTGTGCATGCATATATGCCTAACTAGTGGTCATGGACAACAGGGGGTGGGCATACATGGGGAGGGGTTTGGGATGGGAATGGGGGGATGAAGACAATTATGTGATACCATAATCAATAAAGAATTAAAAAAAAAAACTTCTGCTTTCTGAAAAGCATAATTCAACCAGTAGGAAACACCTCAAGTTCAAGCAGTGAAAAATTCCAACAGTTCATATTAGGAATCTTTCAAAGTATCCTGACGTTATTATGAACTGAATGTCGTGTTTAAAATTAAAATAATGAGAATTTAAGATATTATTCTCCTCTTTACCTGCTCCTTCCACTAAAGGTCTAATGCTTCATCTGGACTTGAAATCTAATTCTTCATTGTGGGGGAAACAGCATTATGTGGAGGAAACTAGATTATGGTTCTTATATTAGGTCCAGTCTACTACTGGTAAACTATAAACTTGAGCTTACCTATATTTCATAACTTCTCTGAGCCTCAGGTTGTGCTTTTTTAAATTTATTGAATGAATATAATAATCTCCTGCCTCTGTCATAAGACCATTTCAAGGCAATATTCACCATGTAAAGCTTTTCTGAATAGTTCAAAGTACTATTTAAAGGAGAAATAGTATTCTCATTTAGTTTTAAAATATGTTTCTAAAAGCTTATGTGTTTTACTGCTGACTAAAGTATGAACCTGAGTTCAAAACGAGTATGCCAGTAGGTCTAAAATTGTGATTAATTGAATAGAGATTTGCCTGGAGTTAATCTTTCATTTAAACATATATATCAAATACTTACTTAGGCCTATGTACTATATCAGACTCTGAGGATATAAAAATGAATAAACCACAGACCCTGACCCCTGGGCTGTCTATGGTTCATACCTGGTAGATCCCAAGAAGACAAAAGCAGTTCATCTTCATGTAACTAAGGAAAATACTCTGCCCAGTTTAAGTAAATCAAAGACTTTACAAGTAGAAACTGGTCTCTCTTTGGAACTCTCAAAAATAATTTAAATCTTTCTCTACTTCCTTAAATCATGAGTTATGGATTCCAAGAAATATGTAGCCCAATAAATAGGCTTATTTATGCCCTTCTGCTTATTTAAAGGCTCTTTTTTACATACCAAAGTGCAATAACCATGGTGGGGAGGGGCAGTTTCATGGTTGCATTTATCTTCTCTCAGAAAAATGTATAAGATTATTTGATCTTCTTTCTGGTCCCAAAGGAATCACCATATGTAATGTATAAGAAGAACCATGAGCAACTGGAAGGAAATGAGCGATATGAAGGCTATTGTGTAGACTTAGCTTATGAAATAGCCAAACATGTAAGGATCAAATACAAATTATCCATTGTCGCCGACGGGAAATATGGTGCAAGGGATCCGGAGACTAAAATATGGAACGGCATGGTTGGGGAACTTGTCTATGGAGTAAGTTCTTTTCAACTCTATTTTCATTTACTTCTATGCTTTCCAATTAACAAAGATAGAGGATTTAATTCTCAAGTGCAATACTTATACAATTGTATAGTTTCATATGGTCTGAAAAAAATGGTTTTCTACAGTTGAATTCTGTAAAAGGAGCTTATCAATAGTATCCTTTGGGCAACAGGATTATATTACTAAAAGGAAAGTAGAATTGGGAAAATCTATCTGGCAACATTAAGTACAGTCTGCCCTCTATTGAAAATCTGTTCCTTCTGAGTTCCCTGTCTCAGGCAACAGAATCACTACCCACGTAGTTGCCTAAGCAACCTGATTTCTTTTCTCCTTGTTCCTCTCATATTTATTTAATCACTGCATCCTATAAATTCTACTCTTAGGTATGTCTCTCAAATCTAGACACACTCTTCATTCGCATCATCATCAACTTAGTTAAGATTCTTACCATTTGTCATTCATTTAACTGGTTTCCCTGGCTCTGCTCTTTTTGTTGTTGTTGTTGTTGTTGTTGTTATCTTTTATTTTTTTAAACTTCTTTATTGATTAAGGTATTACATGTGTGTCCATATCCCCTTATTATTCCCCCAACCCTCCCCCACTCATGCCTTCACCACCACCCCTGTTGTCTGTGTCCATTGATTAGGCTTATATGCATGCATACAAGTCCTTAGGTTGATCTCTTCCCCTTACCTCCACCCTCCCCTATCTTCCCTCTGATCGGTGCTTCTCTGTCTCTGGATCTATTTTTGTTCATCAGTTTATGTTGTTCATTATATTTCATAAATGAGTGAGAGCCTGCCTCTGCTTTTATCCTGGCAAATCAGTTCCCCGCATTATTATAATTTCCCACTTTAAAAATCAGGATAAAATTCAAATTCCTTAGCATAGCAAATAAGGCACTTTATAATCTGGCACCTGCTTATCTCTCTAGCTTCATCTTGTACTCTTTCCCATTCACACTCAATGTCCCAGCTACTAAAGTATTTGTTGTTCCCTGAAAGTGCCCAGCTCTCACTTAGAGCATTCCTGGAAGTATGGTATCTTTGTCTTAACCAGCAAACATCATCTACCAGTCCTCCAGAACTTAGAAATATCAACTCTTTAAGGAAGCTTTCCCTAATCCCATTTACCCACCTGCAGTCAGGTTAGGTGCCCCTGCTTTTTCCTTCCTTAGAGTACACTCTGAACTTGTATTATAATGATCTATTTACAAGTTCAGCTGCCCCACCTAGATGATCCTTGGCATGTGATGTAAGTTCAACAAATACTTGTTAAATAAATTAATGAATGAACAGAATGGTTCTGCCAAGGGCTTGCCCATGGGCCAAGTACAAAAGAATTATACTAATAATTGGGGCTTTTAAAAGGGTACAGCAGTGTCTTTAGGGCTCCTCTGTGGCTTTGCTTGAAAAGATTTTGGCCTCCGATTAGGAATATTAGATCTTGGGCTGCCTAGTGTAGCAGATGGAGAAAAGTAGAACTGGTCATAACACCCCACTGGATGAACCAATAACTGGAAAACTAACTCAAGTGCAGGTGGTGGCAGAAAAGGTTTAATTTAACAAGAAAGGATTATTTGCAATAACTAGTCTCTGTCTAGATAATCGGTTAGGGTAGTGGTTGGCAAAATCATTAGTCAACAGAGCCAAATATCAACAGTACAATGATTGAAATTTCTTTTGAGAATCAAATTTTTTAAACTTAAACTTCTAACGCCACTTCTTCAAAATAGACTCACCCAGGCTGTGGTATTTTGTGGAAGAGTCACACTCAAGGGGCCAAAGAGCCTCATGTGGCTCAAGAGCTGCAGTTTGCCAACCATGGGGTTAGGGGAGCAGAGAGGAGTCTAGAGGGTGAATATACTGAGAAATAGCTGTCAAGGGCAAATGTAGAGGGGGGAAAAAAAGATGGAGACAAAGGTAAACTAATCTGTCGCTTCACACAACAATTTTAAAACTACAACTAAAAGGCAAAACGTCTATCACCCAGAACCACAGGGAAGCTGGCTGAACAGAAGTCTTACAACTAGAAGAAAAGAGAAAGGAACAAAAGCTGAGGTACAAAAGCACATGAATCGGGCTGGTTGCAGGTGACTGGGTGCGCAGCTTTTTTTCAACCTGAAGGGAAACAAGCTCCCAATCACTTTGAAATCCAGTTTCTGGGGACACGCGGGGACCCAGATGCCTATAGAGAGAAGCTGGTATGTTGGCCATTGAGTCCCAAAGTGAGGGTGACTTTTTTGCAGAGGTGCCTGCAGCAATCATTGTTTACTGTGCTGGAGCACAGGGACGTGAGGACTTGGAAACTTGGAAAGGCAGAGATGGCTGATGGGAGCCATTGCTGTTTGCCATGCCCCAGCCTAGTGACATCCTGAAATCCCCCTCCGCCCTGAGACCCTGCCCCACCCTGAGGCCCCGCCCCGCATATTCTACAAACCTGCCTGGCCTGCACTGTGGCAACTTAACGAAATAAACTGCAGCCCCAGTCAGACTGCACCAAAACCGCCAAGTCCCTAGCAAAGAGGAGAAAACTGTAGTTCTTGCTATAGCTCCTGCTGGGTGGCCTCAGACAGTAGCTGACCTGCACTCCATTGGAGATTCAGAATCCAGTGTATCAACTACTCTCATAAGGGACACATTCAAGAGGCAGACTCAGTGAACACCAAAGCCCTACTGGAACAACTCCTGCCCTATAAATATGTCTCCAGCACAGCAATTCTTCCATTATAGACACAGCAGGTCCTCATAGCCAATTAGTCTGGAGGTCAATTCCTCTCAGTGACACCAACAACAATCAAGACTAACTACAACAAGGCTGTACACACAATCCTCAAAGGGGTGCACCAAGAGTGTCCACATCAGGTAACTGGGAGGCTGACCCATTGAACCATATAGGACACCCAGCAAACAAAGCTACCCTACCAACTCAAGGAAGCAACGAAAATGAGGAGGCAAGAAAATAGATCACAAAAGAAAAAATAGAGGAGAACAAATGACTGGACATAGAGTTCAAAACCACAGTTATAAGGCTTTTCAAGAATTTCCTAGAAAAGGCCAATAAATTTACCGAGACCCTCAAGGACATGAAAGATACCCTCAAGGATATGGAAAAGGACCAACTATAAATTAAACATACACTGACTGAACTAAAAAATATTATATAGAGACCCAACAGCAGACTATAGGAATGCAAGAATCAAGTCAAATATTTGGAATACAAAAAGGCAAAGGACACTCCTCTGGAGAAGCAAGAAGAGAAGAGAATCCAGAAAGTTGAAGATAGTGTAAGAAACCTCTGGGACAACTTCAAGCATACCAACATCAGAATTATGGGGTGCCAGAAGAAGAGAGAGAGCAAGACACTGAAAACCTATTTGAAGAAATAATGACCAAAAACTTCCCCCACCTGGTGAAAGAAATAGACTTACAAGTCCAGGAAGCACACAGAACCCCAAACAAAAGGAATCCAAAGAGGACCACACCAAGACACATCATAATTAAATTTCCAAAGGCAAAAGACAAAGAGAGAATATTAAAAGCAGCAAGAGAAAAACAGTTACCTACAAGGGAGCACCCACATGATTATCAGCTGATTTCTCAACAGAAACTATGCAGGCCAGAAGGGAATGGCAAGAAATATTCAAAGTGATGAATAGCAAGAACCTACAACCAAGATTACTCTACCCAGCAAGTTATCATTCAGAATTGAAGGGCAGATAAAGAGCTTCACAGATAAGAAAAAGCTAAAGGAGTTCATCACCACCAAACCAGTATTATATGAAATGCTAAAAGGTGTTCTTTAAAAAGAGGGAAAAGAAGAAAAAAGTAAAGATAAAAATTATGATCAACAAATATATATCTATCAACAAGTGAATCTAAAAGTCAAGTAAATTAAAAGTCTGAATAACAGAATAAACTGGTGAATATAATAGAATCAGGGGCATAAAATAGGAGGGGGTTGATAATTCTCAGGGGGAAAGGGGTGTCTGAGTGGGGGGTATGGGAAGAGACTGGACAAAAATCATACACCTATGGATGAGGACAGCGGGGGTGGGGGGTGGATAAGGGCAGAGGGTGGGGTGGGGACCGGGTGGAGGGGAGCTATGGGGGGGAGAGGAGAAACAATTGTAATATTCTGGACAATAAAGATTTATTATTATTATTTTTTAAAGAGCAAATGTAGCCTGGATGGCGTGGCTCAGTGTTTGAGCATTATCTATGAACCAGGAGGTCATGGTTCAATTCCCAGTCATGGCATATACCTGGGTTGTGGCTTGATTCCTAGTGTGGAGCATGCAGGAGGCAGCCAATAAATGATTGTCATCATTTATGTTTCTCTCCCTTCCTCTCTGTAATCAATAAAAATATATTTTTTAAAAGAAGCAAACATCCAGGTTACCTATTGGACTGAAAGTTCAGGATAAGGACTCTAATGCTTGAATATGGAAATCAGCAAGAATATGGTGTAGCTTTTCAATCATAATATAGAGCTTGGGTCATTAATAAGTTTTTGGAACAGGTCCTCTGGAACAAAAATGAAGGCAGAAGCTAATTTCTAAAAATAAGGGCACAGAAAGGGAATTAAGTCTTAAAATGAGACTGGACCTAAAGTATAAAAATTAGGGCACTATCCTCCAGTCAGACAAGCAGCAAAGCAGTTTGAACCTTAGCCCCCAGCTATGGAGCTGAAGCCAATTATCTCCTGTCTTGGTTCAAGCTTAGTCCTGGAAACTGGGGCAGGGCTGAGTTGTAGATGAGATTCAAGTGAACCCAGTTATAGAAAAGAGAAGAACTTCTAATGCCAGAGAGAGGGAATTGAACAAGGGACATAATACCTGTCATACTTTCCAAGGACGCTGAGAAGCTCTGAATGGTCTTGACATTAAGAACAAGCTTTAAGCTCTTATTTTACAAGTTGGTGATCAAGTCTTCTCTTCCCTGTCCCTCTTTTTCCAGGGTCCAAAAGGTTCTGTATTGCTCACAGCTCTT